TATGACAACCTTAGAGCCCCACAGTGGTACTTGCCCCTACTGGCTGGCTCCCCTGGGAAGTGTCCCTCCCTGCCTCATAAGCTTCCGCCCAGAGGCTCTCCCCAGGTGCTCCAGCCTACCTGGGGGCACTATTAGCCTGAATGCAGAGGGGCAGGGTGTTCCCCAAACTTACCCTGTCAGAGGTCTGCTCTTCTTAATTTCAAAGAACTGTGTCCCTGTGTGATTGTACCTGCAGGTGCCAGTTAAGGGCTTCCTAGCTTGTTCTGGAAGAGCTGTGCCCTTCTGTCCCCACCCATCCCCAAGTTCTGGGGCCCCGCACTCCTGGGGTGCAGGCTGGGTAAGAACCCCACAAAGTGCTTCCACAAGGTACCTTGGAGGATGCTGAAGACTGGAACATCTGAGAGCAGAGGAGAGCACCTGAGGGGAGACTGAGCAGTGGACAGCCCTCTGCAGCACACTCCCATTTCCCAACCAGCCGAGAAGCAGCGTGAACAGAGACCGGGCTGGAGCAGGGGTCCAACGCAACCAAAGTGCTGGGCGGTGCTCCTGAGCCAAAGGCATCCCCTCTTTGGGCCACAGCTTCCCCACTGGGAAATGGAAGGACCGGACCCAATTTCCATTAACGAGCTTGTCTTTTCTCCTGCTCAGGACCCATGCCTGGTCCTTCCAACCCTGTCACATGTGCAGCTTGAAGGGCCTAGGGAGAGGACTCAGGACACACAGCTCTGAGCAGGCACAGGGGGATGGAAAGGCCCAGAGCAGGGACCCCGGGGAACCAGGCTCAGAGGGGCCAGGTCTTTCCATGCTAGGCAGCCAGCCTCCTACCAGGGGAGAGAAAAGCAAAGGACTAGGAGAATGTTCCAAGATGTGGAAGTTACCTCCTGGAGTGTCAAATCCTTGTTCTCCTCCATCTGCCCCCCACTTATTGCTTATGAAACAGCTTTTAAACAGCCCCGCGGGAGCTGCTCCTTTCTCCTACTGGGTCTGGATGGACAGCAGAGGAGGGTCTGTGCTGGCGGCCCGAGACACGGCCATCCCACCAGCGGGTCGCTCAGAAGACACTGCCCTGTCATGCAGAGGAGGTGGAGTGGGGGTGGGGGTGGGTAGGGAGGCCCGAGTGGGTCTGGCATTCATCAGATAAAACCCTCCAGCAGTCAGGCTGTGCTGGCACCACGAGATGGACACAGAGGTCACCTGGGAGTGGCACTCTTGGGAGCTATGGGATCCGGCTGCTCTGCTGATGCCTCTCCAGCCCTGTCTGAAAAAAGCCCCACTTGGGTGTTTGGACCAGCATGCCAGCCAGATGGTGGCCATGACCCTGAACCAGGGAGGATACTGCAGCTCCCTGATGTAGCGCTGCACAGCTTCCAGGCGCTCAGGGACGGGCGTGGAGGGCTGGAACGTAGGCACACTCGGTATGGGAATCTAGGGACCGAGAAAGAGCGCTGGTCATTACAGGGAGGCTCACCCCGGAGCTTCCAGCCACCCGACACCCAGGATTAGCCCCCAGAGAAGCCACCACCCAAAGATGGCCTCCCCCTTCCTTCCTATCCCGAGCCTCTGTCCTTGGCAACTCCTGCCAGAGACTCCGGTCAGGCCCCCACCATGGCCATTTCTCTCCTTCCTGGCACTCCTCATTTGGAGCTTCTGTCGAGGTTTGAATTTTATGCTTCTGTAATAATTTTAGAAAAACATAGGTTGCCTCACCAGCTGTTTTGAATTGTAACAACTTCCAAGTTGTTAACAATTTGAATTGATCAACTTCAAGGCTTAACAAGAATGTCAATATTGGGGTTAAGTTCATTTGCATTCGGGATTTGCTCTGGTTCAAGTGCTGGATCAAAACTAATTTACCTGGTGTCCCCTTCCCTCCCTGCCCTGCCTGGGCTGGGGTGCCCCTCCCATGGGGGGGGGGTGAGTGCGCCCCAGGATCACAGCACATGGGAAGGCACAGGCCCTCCAGCTGCGAACTGGGCTGCTGAGGAGGTCAGCGCTGCCCGGCGGGAGGGACGTTTTGGGACAGGTCTTGCCATGGATCTGCTTGCCATGGCCTGGCTGCTTTGGCCATGTTCCCCCTTCCACACCGTTTCCTGCCAGCTCCACGTGTGCAAGCAACATGAGCAACCAGGTAACTGGGCTCTCCTCCTCACCAGAAGAGACTTTCCAGTGCCCGGCCCAGGAAGCGGGGAGATGGGGGGGGGGGGGGAGGGTGCCAGGCAGGCACCTCCTGATGGCCAGAACCCGTGGGCTGCCCGGCTGCCAGGACTCAGGTCAGGAGCCGCAGACCCGCAGCCAGGCAGTCTCCAGGAAAGAGGCACTGCACAGCTGTGTGCCCCAGGCCACAGGCCCCCTTCTCAGGCCCGGGGAGCCTTCAGTTTGGCCACATCAAGCCAGTGAGGCTGAGGTGGCCCAGAAAGGCACCAGCTGGGGGCCCTCTGGGGCTACAGAACTCCTCCAGGTGGAAGCAGCAGACTTCCAGGAATAAGGCCCACCTGTGGGGGCTCCCCCTTGGCCACCAGGATATCCTGCTGGGAGGTGGCCTCAGGCTCCTCACAGAGAGGTCTCTCTCGCTCCCCCTGAGGCCTCCGCCCAGCCACCCCCTCAGTTCACATGGAGCCCACCCGGCAGGCTGGGGCCGCTGAGGGTGTCAGTCTGCATGGATAGGGGTTATGTGCGAGGGAAAGGGCAAAGCAGGCGCCCTGTGTGAACTTGGGGCAGGGCTGGGGTGGGGGAGGTTCTCCCTGCAGTGAGAAGCTGAGCCCACAGGGCACAGCCTTTAAAACGACGGGGCTACAATGTCTGGGGCCCTCATGTGGAGGGAGGCGACACACCAGTGACCACCGCACACTCATGTCTGGGGTGCCGCTGATGACTGGGACACAGGACAAGCTATGACAGACCCCTACTGGCTCTAAAGGGTAAAGATGCAGGAGGGAAGGCCCGGCTGGGCGTGTCCGGAGCACAGTTCTGCATGAACTTCCTGTCCCTTCCTTGCCGGTCCCCTTCTTCCTGTCTGGGCAGTCCCGAGCAGCTGACCCCTCTCTCTGGAGGAAGCTATTTCCCCTTTTCACATTACACTGCTGCCCAAACCGATGCCACCGCTTACAGTCACCAGG